TGCAAAGGTTGAGTGGCATAGATGCCATTCTCGGGGATAGCAAGCCCCAAGTCCGGAATAGGACTTATAGAGGTTATGAGTGAGACTCCTCCAAGTCGTTGGAGGTGTGGTTAAGTGACTAAAGTAGAATGGAAAATTTAGTTGCTTACAAACAATTAAGTTGGATAGTGTCTGGAGTTGGTGTAGAATTGTGGCTATTGCACTTTTCTAGAAAAGTCACTTTTGTGCCATTTTTCTATAGTATTATGTTAGGTGGCAAGTTGCACCTTGCATTTCGTTAAACTCTGTAAAAGTAGTGAACTTTTATTGATCTTGACTTAGTCTTGGTAGTCTTGCACTTTGGTTAAGTATGATGATGTCTAACTTAGTTGTTTGAGGTTAAGATGTTAGTACCCATACTATAGCTTTGTCTATGAGGAAGTTATCTATCTCATGGTCTTCATTTTAGTTTCAACTAAGTATTGATCATGCATAGTTAGCCTCTTCAAGGCATGCTCAGAAATGTTGGTTAAATGCATTAGTGAGTTTATTGCGGTTGAGTTAGATTTGAGTGGTCATTTAGTTTGTGTTTGTCCATGAACCTTTATCTTATACTTGGGGTATTATGTTTATGTTGAACAAGTATATAACTCGATAATATGAGTTTAGTGTTTAAGTTTTGTGAAGGCAAGTTGAAGAGTGATTGTTAGTTACTTTATAACTAGTGGTTGCTTATAGACTTTGTTAATGACTTTTAACACTTGCTTCACTTGATGAAGATTTATCAATGATAAGCTTGTTTTACTAAATGGTGTTGTGAAAAATTGTGTCATTAAACTTACATTGTTTTTCCATGTTAGCATGTTGACTCTACCTCTATCAATATCATTTAGTTGTGTTTAGTCAGTAGTGTTAGATTTTATGGAGTCTTGGATGTGGTGAATCACTTCTTGATAAGGTGTTATTTATAACTAAGTATTGTTGGAGGATTGGTCTCAGATACTAAGTAAAGTATCTTCAACTTTGGTTAATTTGGTTGTTAAAGAGTTTAGGTGCTAATTCACTCTTGCTTTCTATTAACTTTGTTATGGTGTTGATGGTATTGAAGTGATGCCTTGTTATTGACATTATTAATGTTGAGATTCGAGTGAAATGAGATATCTCTCCGTAGGATTAATATTGAGTTTCATTAGTCTCAATGAAAATAGTGTTGGTGGTTTGGTTATAGCTTTATGTTATTGGCATTTGTATAATTGCTAGTTAGCAATTGTATTGACGTTCAAACGAATTGAGTAGAAAGTTTGAGTTATTTGTGTTTTAGATGAGATTGTTTAGTAGGGGTTGAGCTTTACACTTTTCCTTGAAAAGTGATTTAGTCGTGGACAATGCTAACTCTATGAGAGGAAGAATTAGTGAGCAATATTTGAATGTTTGAATCCTTATTGGATTTAAGTTAGAATATACTGATCGTTAATGATTCTTCTTGTGCTTATTATGAAATGAGTTATGTCTTGTTATAGAAGATGGATTCATGGAGGATCGATTTGATGATCACTTGTTAAACATAATTTTGTTTTGCTTGGCTTTTAAATTGATGCAAATATATTCTTCATTAACTTTTGCATTATGAAGTTTAGCTTATGGATATGTTAAAGAAGATATTGTGGGTTGTACCATAATGTTTTTCTTTAGTATTGAAGTTAGTTCATACAAAACTTATGATCATTGTTATGAAAGACTTGGTTATAAGCTTTTTCAAGTTTTTGGTTTTTTGACTTTTATGCTCATTGTTTTATTTATTAGGAATTGTTAAGGAAAGCATTTTAGCTCATAATGCTTTGAAGTTGAAATTTGTATTTACATATAGCAATCATTGATAATGAATAACTATCATCTTGAATTATTGTCCTTGTCAAAAGTTTTGCTTAATTATTGTTGATTTAGAATGATTTGCTGTTCTTTGGGATGATGGATTCTATCTTCGATAATGATTATACATCTTTTCATTGATGAGATGATTAATGTTTTTTCATGATGGTTAGTTGTTCTCTTTGATGACTTATGGTTTTTCACATTACCATATGTTCTTTGTGGTTTTCTTTGGATTGGTCTCTTGGGTTTGAGACATCAATAGGATGTTGCTAACACTTGTTTAAACAACTTATTAACTAAAATTTATTCAGATTGGCTAGTGTGATAATTAGCATGAATAAGTGTTTGTTGGTCTTGTAACATTCATTTTATTCTATTAATTATTGTTACAGTTGGTTTTGATAAGTTAAATGTTATTTTCTTTGGGTTATACATTCGTGAGCATTTTACTTATCTGTCAATGATACTTTGTGTTCTTATACTTATCTTTTATAAGTTGTTTAGTGTGTTTGATAGTTAAGTTTTGTCATTGAGTGTCCTTAATGATACACTAGCTATTGAATTTTGTTAGATGGTGAATCCTATGTTTTCCAACTATAGTGATCCTGGTGGTTCATGTACTCTAATTCTGGTTTATCAGATGATACCTTATTTGGAATACTTTTGTGTTCTAATCTAATATTTATTCACTGATAATTAAGTCTCTAACTTTTATATTATCCATCTATTAATCTTTGAGTTTGGGCCAGTATAAACAGATTGTCTTCAGCATTTTGTGTGCATAATGAAATATTTAGTCATGGGGTAACTATTGTTAACTGGTCACATCACCCGCTTTTCTGTCAATGTTCCTTATTTCGTTAAAAGGGTGTGACCATGTAAACAACTCTAACTACCTATTTATAGTAGTCTATCTAAACCTGGTTTCTTTGCTCATGAGGGTTGGGGCCTCTAGCTTTTCTCTTTATGTCTCTCTAACTCATTTAAGTTGGTGCATTTTGAACATAGTATGATCACTATGAACTTTTCTTAGAGTTGTTTCCTTAGCAATGGTCTAGACTGGAGTATGCATCGACGAGGACATCAATCTTCCTTAAGGGGGAAAGAATGTTGTAAATGTGACTTTAGGTATCAAAAGTTATCTATTAGCTAGAGCTTTCAGATATTCTTTCCTTACTGCCACGACGGCAAAAGGTTGTAAGCAACCAAAGGGAACAACTTGAGAGACGATCCATAGGGTTCAAATATGGAGGGAAAGGGCCCTTGAATAAGAGTGCAACCCATTTTCCAATCGGTTAAGGGTTTTGAGATATTTGGGGTTAAGTGTCCTTGGGTTTGAATAGTATTGGGCTGAGTGACTTCCCGGGAAGTCCAAATTCAGGAGCTTACAGTTGGTATCAGAGAGGTCTCGGGTCTGACTCTATTGATCTAAGGGGTAGGGTGTCAAGAGAGCGGGGCTCTCGGGAAAGCTATGGCTCTCAGCTTTCGTTCACGAGGGCGTGAACTTGCAGGGAAGCGTGGTGGATTGTAAACAACCAAAGGGAACAACTTGAGAGACGATCCATGGGGTTCAAATATAAAGGGAAAGGGCCCATAAATAAAAGTGCACCCCCTCTTTTCCAATCGGTTAAGGGTCTTGGGATATTTGGGGTTAAGCATTCTTGGGTTTGAATAGTACTGGGCTGGGTGACCTCCCGGGAAGTCCAAATTCAGGAGCTTACAAAGGTTGGTATTGTTAGAGCTTATATTAGTCCCTCTTGTTTAAGTGTTAGTAATTGGACTTTGCATCTACCTTGGCTAAACGAGCATAAGGAAGGAATTCCTAAGTGTCTATTTAGCCAAGCATATTTAGTTTAGCTTATTAGTTCTCTTTAGTAATTAGACTTTGCATCTATACTTGGCTAAACGAGCATAAGGAAGGAATTTCTAAGTGTCTATTTAGCCAAACATATTTAGTCTGGCTTATTAGTTCTATTTAGTAATTGGACTTTGCATCTATACTTCGCTAAACGAGCATAGGGAAGGAATTCCTAAGTGTTTATTTAGCCAAGCATATTTAGTTTAGTTTATTAGTTCTCTTTTGCTCTGTCTTGCACTGGCTTGGCAAGAACCCTCACATATTGAGACTAGTCCCTTAATATTGCTAGATGATAGCTTACCATATTGAAAACTCCTGGAATCTCTAATCTGGGAGGAAAACATCCACACGAGATTTTCCTAGGAGTTTCAAATCTAATCTAGTCCCTAAAACTAAAACTACACTACAAGAAGAATGCACTTACCTGCTTGTGCCAAGCCAAGTTGAGACTGTGAACAAGTGCTTGAAGGTGCTAGTCCCACGCCTTTGATCCCTTGAAGGCGGTGGGTAAGTAAGACATTGTTGTGAAGAGCCGAAGAGATAGGCAGAAAGACAATGTATTGCAATGTATTTTGTATTAGGGATAAGTCTAAAAACATTCTAAGTCCTACTTTTATAGTCGCTACTGCTCACGTCAAGGTTAGGAATACAGTCCTAACCTTGAACCTCTCAAGTTTACTTTCCTAAGCTTGAATCCTCGAGCTTGTCTTTTTCTCCCTTCTCCACTCTCCCACAACTGCCTTGTGCTGCGTCCCGCAATCACTGCTCCATCGCTGCATCGTGGGTAGCTGCTCCCTCATGTGGCTCCTCCTCCTCTTCCTCCTCTTCATAAGTCTGAGCTGCTTCCTCAAAGTCTTGTGATCTGAATTTGACCAGCTTCTTCCCGAGATCAGTTGCACAAACGCCTCTTCTCGAAACTTTAAACATCCGACTTGAAACAGCCACGACTTCTCTTGGACGGCTTTCAGTTTTGCTGCTTTACTACTTACTTCCTCTACTCCTACAGAGCTACAAAGGATGAAACCAGCTTGCCTCTGTCCCACCAGAACCTAAGAAACACACTTCCTCGTCTCTTCACCAACTTCACACCAGCCACCTTCAAGTGCAAACTTTGGCCTGGGTATACGGCTCCTCTTGATGGCTGCTCCACAAGGTTCTGAACTTCTACACCTCTTTGTTGTCCAACATCTTCTTCTTTCTTCTTCACAACAGCTTTTTGCTCCAAGCCAGCTTGACCAGCTGCTGCCTGTTCCACGTCAAACTCTGGCATTGAATTTTTCTTCTGATCCGTCTACTCACAAAACTTCGGAAGCACCACCTCAAGTTCCTGCGTCTGAAACTCCTTTATCCACTGCAGGTCTTTGTCTTCTTCTGCTGGTTGCTCAATCTGATCAGGCTGTTCATCTTCCACCAGGTTTTGCTTCAACCTTGCTTCAACTTGCTCTTCCACATGAAACTTTTCTTTCTGCTGAACAGGTGCCAACTCCTCTTGGGTAAAACTTCTTGTTTCTTGATTGTTTGATTGTTTGTCATGTTCTTTGATTGTTTCTGGATCTTGTGCTTGCAATTCAGCTTGAATTGCTTTAAGTATTTTCTTGCTTTTCTTCCATTCGGTTTCTGGGATAATTTCCAGTTCATCATCGTGATCTTGTTCTTCCAAATTATCTGGTTGTTGATACTTGTATTGTTGTCTCGTGATTGCTCGTATTGCTGGTTCTTCATAAGTTTGTGAGTCTTCGACTTCGACCTCAACATTCCGTGCTGCAGGTGGTCTTGCTCTTGGAGCTTGATTGTTTACGACTTGGTTATTTTCACGATTTGCATTTTGGTAAGGTTGCCGAGGACGATTATCTTGCTGTGGTGCAGGTTGCTGGTTGTAATTGTAACCTTGAGCCTGGGGTGGTCTTTGATTATAATTCCGATATGGTTCTTGATCATAATTGTAATTCCGTGGGGGAGGATGTTGATAATTGTCCTGAGGTCCATCACGTTGCTGATATGTATTGTAGTTTCTTCCATAATTTCCAGTATAGTTGTTTGGTCTTTGATCTTGAGGGGGTATTCTATTGTAGTTGCTATTGTCTCGCTGGTAATAGTTTTGTCTTTGATTATACAAATTATCATCACGTTGATAATAATTGTTATATCTTGGAGGTTGATTTCGTGGTGGTCGCGCATTTTGATTCCAATTGCCTTGATATCGAAGATTGGGCTCTCGATGAGAAGTATTCTCGATTCTTGAAACTTCCATTGTATTCCTAAATCGGCAATTCTTGGCTATATGGCCTTCTCTATCGCAAATTTGACATTTTGGAAGCTGAAATTTGCATTCCAAATATGTATGTCCTTCATTTTTACACTTTGTACACCACACTCCTTCCTTGAGTTCGGTTTGTGAGATTTTCCTGATTATTTCCTTCAAGTTTTTTTTTTTTGTTTTGATGGCTTCTTCTTTGTCTTGATGCGGATTTCTTCCTCTTCTTCATCATCTGAACTATCATCGGTTTGTGAAGGTATAGCTTTTGTGAATTGCTTGAATCTCTTTTCCAATGTGAGGATTTCTTTGGAGAGTGTATCAACACTTTCATCATCTGGATTCTTTGTTGCAGCAGCAATTGCTACCATGTTTCTACTCCTGGAATCTCTAATCTGGGAGGAAAACGTCCACACGAGATTTTCCTAGGAGTTTCAAATCTAATCTAGTCCCTAAAACTAAAACTACACTACAAGAAGAATGCACTTACCTGCTTGTGCCAAGCCAAGTTGAGACTGTGAACAAGTGCTTGAAGGTGCTAGTCCCACGCCTTTGATCCCTTGAAGGCGGTGGGTAAGTAAGACATTGTTGTGAAGAGCCGAAGAGATAGGCAGAAAGACAATGTATTGCAATGTATTTTGTATTAAGGATAAGTCTAAAAACATTCTAAGTCCTACTTTTATAGTCGCTACTGCTCACGTCAAGGTTAGGAATACAGTCCTAACCTTGAACCTCTCAAGTTTACTTTCCTAAGCTTGAATCCTCGAGCTTGTCTTTTTCTCCCTTCTCCACATATCTATCAAACACCCTCGCTATCACACCTTTTGTGTTAGTCTCATTCCGATCCCAAATACTATTTATGGAAAGTGTTTAGATTTACTTATTTGGCATATTTATGGAATGTAGAGATTATTTTGAACACAATGGTGTTCGTCCCATGTCTAAATTCACAATCTAAGGATATTTTATATTTAATAAGTTTCAAGTTTGTCCTAGAGACTAACTCCTGATACTAAGGGAGGCTTAGGGTGAAAGCCCAAAGCGTGTGTTCCTCAAAGGAGGGGGGAGGGGGGTTTTAAATGTATAGTAGGGATAATCAGTAGGTTAGGCATGACTGACCAACTTGAGGTATAGTCTAGCTCTCGTTTGCATGCCTATTTTTGCTTTGTGTCTTGCGTGGATTTAATCCTAAGTTCCATACCATATTAGTTGGTGGAGTACCCATATATCCTTGTGTTAGGCCACTAATATGTTGAAATACCACTAGACTTTGTTTGGCTCTATTTTGCATGCTGGTCTTGGCATTGGAATACTGGATGCTCTAAGACTGTTTCAAGTCGCTTTGTGCTCTTGTCCTTTGCTCTTTGGGTTATATGCTCGAAAGTCACTCTGTGCTCTAGTACCTTTGCTCCTTCGCTCCATACTTAGGAGTTTGGCTCTGTTCTTTGTTTAGTGGCCCAAGGCTATGAAACTTGGGTTTCGTACCACTATCCTTTAGATACATGACATGTGGCACATGGAGGGTTTAGGTTCCACTTCTTTGTTATCCTATGGTAAATCACCATAGGATAAAGGGTAAAAACCATATATGCTACAGAAACTCAATATCAATTTTTTCAAGAGACATTTCATTTCACTTGAATCTTGATATCAACAATGTCAACGATAGAGCATCATTTCAATGCCATCAACATTATAGCAAAACTAAAGAAAAGAGAGAGCAAATCACCACTCAAAACTCTTTAGCAACTAGACTAACCAAGGTTGAAGATACTATACTTAGCATCTGAGACTAATCCTTCGATAATACTCAGCTATATATAACACATCATCAAGGAGTGAATCACCACATCCAAGACTCAATGTAATGTAATCCAACATTAAAAACTAAAAGCAATCAAATAATATTGACAAATGTAGAGTTGACATGCCAATATGGAAAAACTATGTGCTTGATGATGATTTTGCAATGGTGGGCTTACTTTACTGAATGGTGTTGTAGAGGGTTATGTTATTAAACTTACTTACTTCATAAGTCCCAAACACTAAACTTACGTCATTAAGTTATATACTTGTTTAATAAGTATGGAACCAAGGAGTAAAGGAACTAGAACATAGAGCAACTCCCAAGCGTTCAACCCAAGGAATAAAGGGACAGAAGCACAGAGTGAAGTAAGAATAGTCTTATAATATCTAGCATCCCAATGCTAAGACTAACATGCAAAATGGAGCTAAATAGAGTTTAGCACTAGTTCAATATACTGGTGGCCTAACATGAAGATATGGGTACTCCACTAGCTAGCATGGTATGGAACTTGGGCTTAGACACAAGCACGCAAGTAAGAGCTAAACTATCCCTTAGGTTAATCAACCATGCTCGACCTACCCACTATCCCTACTATACATTTGGAACCCTCCCCCCCCCCCCCCTCCCATTTAGGAATGCATGCTTTGGGCTTTCACCCCTAGTCATCCTTGGTACCAAAAGTTAGTCTTTGGGACAAACATAAAAACTTACTAAATATGGAATGACATTAGATTGCAAATTTGAATATGGGACACACACTATTTGTGTTTAGAACAATCTCTACATTCCATAGATATGCTAAATTAGCAAATCTAGACACTCTCCATAAATTAAAACTAAACAAGACTAACACATAAGACATGATAATGAGGATGTTTGGCAGATATGGTAAGTTATCATCTGGCAATATTAAGGGACTATTCTCAATATGCAGAGGTTCTTGTCACTAGCCAGTGCAAGACATAATGAGATAAGAACTCTTTACTAGGCTAAGTATGCTTAGCTAATAGCACGTAGGAATTTCGTCCTTATGCTCGTCTCTTGAAATGCTTAGTTAACTCCATTAGCATAAGAGGGATTGATAAATACCAACCTCTTGCTGTCATGATAGTAAGGAGAGAATATCCAAAGGACTAGCTGACAAGTAACTTTCGATACCCATAATCACATTTGCAATACTAAAATAGACAAAAACTATTCAAGAGTATATGAATGTGTTTACAACCAAGAGGATCCTTATCATAGATATGGGCAACATGGATGTGTTCCATGCCTTCATATCAAGCTTACAAACTTGGACTCAGGGCAAGGTGATATGTTGGACCTCAATCAACTATAAAGTAGCATTAAATGTAGCTATTAAGGTGCACTTCAATGATAACTTGTGGAAAAGGGAGCATAATAGGGTTGGGGTCCACATTTAGCTAAGATACCATACTAAAGGAATTATCGACAGGGTTCCCTTACCTGACCAATAGAACATAATATCAAGCTAGTCGAGAGTGCTAAGGTGGTGGTTCATCCCCTTTATTGGTTAAACAAAAACGAATTTAAGAATCTCAAGTGCCAACTTGAGAAGTTGATGGATAAAAGATATGTTAGATTGAGTAAGTTGTCATATGGTGTGTTAGTGTTATTTGTGAAAAAGAAAGATGGCTCTATATACATGTGCATAGACTATCAATTACTCAACAAGTATACAAAGAAGAACAAATACCCTTTATGAAGGATTGAGGATCTATTCAATAGATTGAGAAAGGCAAAATACTTTTCAAGAATTAACCTAAAGTCAAGAAGACAACTTATCAGATGAGGTATGGAAGCTCTGAGTTTCTGATGATGCCTTTTGGGTTGTGCAATGCACTGGCAACATTCTCGGCATTGGTGAACCATATTTTTGTATCCTATCTAGATCACTTTTTAGTCATTTATATTGACGACATCATGATTTATAGTGAGACATTAAAGGAGCATGCCGAACACTTGACAAAAGTGTTTGAGAAACTAAAGGAACATAAGTTGTATGTTAAAGAGAGAAAATGTGACTTTGCTTAATAAAAGGTAAAGTTTCTCGGGCATGTGGTGGGGAAGAACGTGCTCAGGGTGGACCTTGAGAAGATGCAAATGATCTAAGAATGGGAATGATTACCAAATGTACACAAGTTAAATGTTGTTAGAGCTTTGCAACTACTACCGAAAGTTTATCAAATATACCAAATGGGAAAAAGGAAGATGGTATAAACAATTGAATATGAGGTAGCATTTGTCCACTTCAAAGGGAAATTGAGGAAGACTCCCGCGTTAGCATTACCAAACTTTAGTAAAGACTTTGAGGTAGAACAGAAATTTTAAACTTTGCATTGGGCACAATTTTGAAGCAAAACAACCATCCAATGACATTCTTTTTGAAGAAGTTGAACAATGCTCAACAAAAATGGCCTACCCATAAAAAGAAACTATTTTTGGTGGTCAAAGCACTCAAGGAGTGGCAACATTACCATGGGCTAATGCTTTCAATGAGTTCGATTGTGAGATTTTTTATAAATTTAAGAAAAGTAATATTGTGGCAAATTCTCTAAGTCAAAAAGTAAGCTTAAAGTTAGTGATATCCAACACAACAACCTTTTGGGATGATACGTGAACAGTATATGAGGACAATAGTCTAGTACAAGAAGTGTTGCTAAGGAACTAAGAAGAGCAGGATGCTCACTAGAGAGGTGAGCCATCTAGGAAAAATTGAAAATGGGTTATATAAACTCATTTATTATAGGTAAACAAAGTATATATTCCACAAGGGGAACTAAGAGATAGTAGCCAAGGCGTTAACTAAGAGATTACGGCCGATACTGCCAAAACGATATATGACACCCAAAACGGATTTGTGGAAGGCAGACAGTTGGTAGACAACACATTGACAGTGCTGCTCACATAAGAACAAGTAAAGGACCAAGGACTAGAGATGGCAATAATACTCCTGGATTATGAGAAGGCATACCATAGAGTGGACTAGGAGTTTCTGCAAACAACGATGAGGAAAATTGGCATTCCAGACAAGTTCATAGGATGGACGACCACCTTATATCAAGGCGCATCAAGCAAGGTTACAATAAATAGGACAGTGGGAACATGATCAAGTTACAATGGTCAATAAGACAAGAGTGTCCTTTGGCCCCTTTTTTGTTCCTTTTCG